CAAGCCGTATTTTCTAAGGAATACAGCTATCAAATCCTGAGACTCCATTTATAACAAAGAAGAGTATCAAATACGACTAAACAGTCCTCTGTCAATGTGAGTGTAGGTACATGCATGCATGCTCTTGCACATACAGATATACCTGTTCTGGTAAGGATTGGATAAAAAACTTAATTCTTAAATTTCAAGGACAAATTCAAGAACATTTGAGTAAACAGAAAATTTTAGGCCCATTCTGTAAAAAGCAAAGCTAGATAGAAAAATAATTTGAATGTATATTATGCGTGATCATAAAAATGAAGTTTTATACCTAATGTATAATTTTGCTTATGGTTCTGATAACAGAAAATAACACAGGTGCAAACAACACGAATCATCTCTGGCAACTGTATCACATATTATCAGCACTTGTGTATAAACTTATAAAGTCATGCTTAAAACAGATAGAACACACCAACAACCAATGAGAGTCAATCTGGCGGGCTGGGTCAGAATTAGGGATGTTGTTTTGAACAGTTTCATTAGTCAATAAGAAATAACAAGTCACAAAAAACAGCTCTCAAAACAAGAACTTCTATTGGTGGAGTAAAATATAAAAATGAGAACACATATACAAAAGCATAAATATTAATGTCTTCTAAGGATTAAACTGCTTATATATAACAGAAACAATTTTGACCAAGAGAAAATGAAAATGTACAGCGTGAAGACTATAGTTAGGCTATATACTGAGAATCTGCTAAGAGGGCGTTTTAGGTGCTCTTCCTACAGACACAAAAGTAACTACGTGAGATGACAGACATGCTTACTTCTTTGATACCAGTAATCATTTCCCTGTGTGTATCAAAATACCATCTAGTACACCTTACATATATACGATAAAAACAGCAATTCTCTTAAAATAAATAAAAACAAAAATGAAAAGGCAAAATTAAAGGAAAACCTAAATCTGGAAATTCATTAACCTAAAAGCAAGGGACAGTTTATTAAGTAACATGCTAACAGCAATGATTGCTTTCAAAAATAGATTCTTATCTAGAACAATCTTCCAAAATAAAGGCAAAATTTGTGAACAGCTGCAGACGAAAACCATTTAGGTTCAGCCATGGGATAGTCAGTGGACCAGAGGAGAGGAACACAGATGTGTACCTCTGCATTATATGATGTCTACATTGCTATACTGGATTACAAGTCCATTAAACATCTGTGCCAAATTCTGGAGGGTATATTCCGTTTTTGTCTTTCCTTGTTGAAAATGGTTATAAACAGAGATAAAAACATATCTTTAAAAATAGTTCATTCTAGATTTTATTCATCCTTACTACACTGTATATGTTAAAAAAAAACCATTAAACACAGAGGATTCTATGCAATATATTTTAAGTTTAAAAATACGGTTCATGAAAATGCAGGTAGATTTAAAATAGTTATTTACAACTTGTCCACTGTTAAGCCAGAGCCGAAAGTCTGAGAAGTGTTAGATAAATTTCAGAAAGCACATCTGCCCTTTGTTCAATTACGATAATACCATAAATTTGGTGTATGGCACAACTCTTAGGGCAGGACACAATTACAAGAGGGACTTTACCTAACAATTGCAATCAGTGTAACCTAATTCTGTGTACCCTCAATGAATCCCAAACAACAAAAATAAATAAATAAGAAAAAAAAAAATACCATAAATTATATTTTCAATCCACAAAGATGATTCAAAATATTTTAGCACGAATCTTCTTAAAGCCTTAAACACAAAACCTCATTAGAAAAATAAAGCCATCCAGAGTTTACTGTGACAGGATAACTGTCATAAACTACAGTGTCCAAAGCCCAACCTAGAGCATTCAATGCAATCACTACACGTCAACCCCACTTAATGACTACAAAGAAAGGCAGACCATAAGATAATGCACATGCTTAAGTTACTACACCTTTGTGGTGAGGAAGAAGGAAAAGTCTTAGTTAACACTTCCTGGACACAGTGATGTGTTTTCCTTGTTCAGAGCTCCTAAGCACCTTGGCTCCCAAACAACCAGATCTTCTCCAGAGACTCAGTATTGTCTGTATCACAATGGGTCCCGATAAAGGCAGAGTCATATCTGACCAACCCTCTGACGTGAAAGATGTCCTTTATTTTAGTCAGTTTTAAGTAGGAAAAGAGAAATCATGGGCTACTTAAAATAGAGGAAAATTAATGTAAAAAGGCGGTTATCTAAAGGATTAAAGATATGTAAGAAGTCACCAAGCGGAGAGTGAGACAACCAGACATCAGTCACACCAAAAGCAACTATACCCCGAGGCTACAGAGACAAAAGAAAGAGCAACCAGTAGGAGGATCACACAGTGGATGTGGAACTAGGCAGGCCTGGCCGGTAGGAACTGGAGCCACAAAAGAAACAGCTTTGCCAGCAATACACTAGTGATAAAATGAGATAAAAGAAATATTCTGGCCTCTCCCTTCCTAAAATCTCACACTGGTATTTCCCATTGGGTTCCCCAAACCTAGTAGAGGTCAGCCGTCAATGGAGCCTGAGAAAGGCAGCCTGCAGTGTTAGCCTCCCTCCGTATAGAAGAAAGCTGGAGAAGAGTACAAAACAGACCTAAGGGCAAACAAGCCCAAGAACAACACAACTTTTAATAAAGTTCGTATCATAAAGGCGATCTCAGAAATTTACCCAATCTAATTTCTCATTTACAGTTGGCTCTAAGACTTCAAGAAGCATATTAATACTTCTAGATCATCTTTCAGATTTTGAAATAAAACAAAAACATTAATAACTGAATGTATAATTCTGCTAGGCAGAGCAAGAACTACCCAACTAGTTATTATAACGAGATACATCATAATGTTCAATGAGGAGTTTGGTTGTCTGTCTTTTGGTTTGCCCATAAGATTTAACTGGGAGTAATTTAAAAGATGCATTTTCTTTCTTTCTTTCTTTCTTTCTTTTTTGAGATACAGTCTCATTATGTCACCCTTGGTAGAGTGCCATACTGTCACGTCATAGCTCACAGCAACCCTCAACTGTTGGGCTTAAGCGATTCTCTTGCCTCAGCCTTCCAGGAAGCTGGGACTATAGGCACCCACCACAATGCCAGCTATTTTTTGGCTGTAGCTGTCATTGTTGTTTGGCAGGCCTGGGCTGGATTTGAACCCGTCAGCTCCAGTATATGTGGCTGGTGCCCAGCCACTGCGCTACAGGTGCTAAGCCAAAGATGCATTTTCTAAGAAAAATAGTCTCTGTATAAACGAAGATGTCAGCCAACAGTTATGAGAAGCTACTTAAAATTGTTGCCAAGTAAATGGCTCAAATGTGCTTTCTCCAAAGCATCTTTTCAAAGTCTTTAAAGAGATGCTGAGTTTTTAGTACAGATGATTGAAATCATACCTACTGAATTCCTAAGAAAAATCAGAGTACTGATTCAAATTCTTTAGTATGAGAAGAATATTGATATTGTGATTACAGAATTGTTAAAAGCCAAACTTAGCATTAAAAAAATTCAATATACTGTTTCACATATCAAACAATGACTGCTATCTTGTTTGAATTGGAACTCACTGCACTATTACATTAAATCTAAATATTCCATGAACTTGCTAAAACTTTCATTTTGCTAAAATTGTTACTATGTTTATTCATCATTTATATCATTTATAGAAAACAATAAAATAAAACTCAATGTTTTTCAAAATTTCTTGATAAACCCATTTAATGACAATTTATTTATCAAATAGAACTTAAAAAAAACAAACTTCTTCCAAATGGTTAAAAAAATTTGCCTATTAGAAATATTATCTAGCTTATTTTCACCAAATTGATATATTAATAAATCAAACCAGTTGTCAAATATCATTAATTTTATTTTACATACATTTAAAAATATTCTGGCTGGACACAGAAGTGGCTCATGCCTGTAATCCTAGCACTCTGGAAGGCTGAGGCAGGTGGATTGCCTGAACTCAGGAGTTCCAGACCAGCTTGACCAAGAGCGAGACCTTGTCTCTACTAAAATTAAAAAAACTAGTTGGGCTGGAGATGGGCACCTGTAGTGCCACCTACTTGGGAGGCTGAGGCAAGAGGATCTCTCGAGCTCAAGAGTTTGAGGCTGTTGTGAGCCTATGACGACATAGGCACTCCACCCAGGGAAACAGAGTGAGACTCTGTCTCAAAAAAAGTGAATAAATGAAAATAAATATTCTGTCTTGACTCAAGATTTCAACAGCAAACTATAATGCAATGTAATATGCCATAACTGTATTATTATTATTATTATTATTTTGAGACCGAGTCTCACTGTGTTGCCCTCGGTGGAGTGCCTATGTCGTCATAGGCTCACAACAATCTCAAACTCTTGGTCTTAGGTGATTCTCTTGCCTCAGCCTCCCAAGTAACTGGGACTACAGGCACCCGCCACAACACCCCATAATCTTTTTGTTGCAGTTGTCGTTGCTGTTTAGATGGCCTAGGCTGGGTTTCAACCTGCCAGCCTGGGTGTACATGGCCGGCCCCCTACTAACTGAGCTATGGGTTCTGCTCTTTAACTGTATCATTTTAATAACAGCAATAAATTCTATTTTTATGTGATAAAAAACATGGATCACGTGGCTCAGAAGATAAGAAAAAGCCCTGAGTATAATAGTGATAATACCATGTTAACTCTGATGAAACAGTCCTAGTGAGTGCTTATTTGTCCTTGGAAGCCTTCAGACAAACACCTAGGTCTCTGCAAATTTAGAAAGCAGAATAATAATTCTTTGGGATATTAAAGGTAAAAAAGATAATTTATCTTTCTTTTAAAAATATTTTTTAAATTTATCTTTCTTAAAAGAGCATGAACAGCCAATTAGTAAGTGCCATTTCAGGACTGTAGCTGTTTTAATAGTAATAATGCCACCATTTTGCCATTTATCAAACAAAACACAGAAAAACTGCTACCTTATTCATTACTTTAATTTTTTTTTCATTTTAGCAATAAAAGTAGGTTTTTCGGGAAACACTCACCATCCACTCAGATATAATAACATCCACTTTTTCTACAGGGAGGCGAACTTCTTCAATCTTTCCTTTAATTAGTATAATAGTATCTTCAAGTTTATTTAGTCTGAAAGTCATCATAATGAATTAAATTAGTATGTGAATCAATAACATGTCACTGAAGTAACCATGTCTTTTATAAAAGGGGAGGGGCAGGGGAGGACAGACCAGACACACAGACGACAAAGGTATGGTGTAAAGGGAAGGACTCTGTCACAGGGTGAGAGAATCTGAAGCCACCAGCCCTTACTGTGAACACTGCTCCACTAGCACTTGCCAGCCATGTGATCTTCACCAAATTTTTTAATAATTTTACGGAGCCTATGTGCTCATGATATAATACCTGCCCTATTCACTTCACAGGCTACTGTAAGGATCACATATTTGTGAATGTTATATATACATCTCAAGCAACAGATAATGGTAATGACATTATCATCAATAACAAACTATTATATGTTATATTATATAGACCTGAAATCTCACCCCAATAAAAAACTATTTAACCTTGACCCAAGGCATTCATTAGGTATTTTTATATCGTTATACCTGTAGTTTCATATAGTTATATGTATATAATCATAAGATTGGCACATATTTTGAACTTCTGCAATTGGAACAACAGCATTAAAGAGAGAATTTCAGAAAAGTGAAAGCAAACTGCTAATTAAGCTGTATCTAATTAGATTAATAAATTCTCAGTCCTCAGAGAATGTACCTTTTAATTAATAACACAGGATTTTTTTTTTTCTGCATTAAGGTAGAAATCCCCTCCCCCAACTTCATCAAAGGATTACTTATATACAATTAAGTGTATCTTTTTAAAGGTAAACTTTGTTGCATTTTTAAAAACATAGATACTTAGGTGACTACCACCATTGAATACATATAGAAAATTTCCATCTCCCCCAAAAGATTAGTCAGTGCCCATTCCCAGAAAATCTTCACATCCATAGACAACTATTGATTTTCTTTCTTTCATTACAGAGTAGATTTGTATTTGATAGTTTCATACTAACAGAATCATATTAAATGCAACCTTTTGTGCCTGGTATCATTCAACAAACATGATACTTTTTAGATTTGTGTACTTTTGGTGTATATCTATGGTTCACTCCTTGTTATTGCTAAGTAGTATTTCACTATATGATAAATCACAATTTGGTTTATCTACTCACCTGTGGATGGGATTCTAGATTGTTTCTAGCTTTGAGCTATAATGAATGAAGATACTATGAAACACCTGTGTATGAGCAGAACTGCTCAAATCAAAAGGTAGTGTATAGCTACTTTTTAAAAAAAGAAACTGCAAATTTGCTTTACAAAGTCTGGTGTCCTCCAACTATGGCCCGCGGACCACATGCAGCCCGCCTAGGACATTTATCAGGCCCACTGGGTGTTTTTGCTGCCGTTGCCTGTCTTGCTTAGCAGCTGACTCATCCCGGGGACTGCAATCTGGCCCTCCAACGGTCTGAGGGACAGTGAACTGGCCCCCTGTTTAAAAAGTTTGAGGACCCCTGACAAAGTGAATATACAATTTTACATTTCTGCCAGGAATGTATATGCTTTCCTATTGCTTCACATCCTTCTAATACTTAGTGTTATTTAAAAATTTTAATTATGTAACAAGACTTTATTGTGGTTCATAAATCGCATTTTCCTAGAATGATGAAGCATTTTTTATGAGCTTATTTGCCATATTCCTATATCTTCTTTTGTTCAAATCAGCTTAGAGTATTATTATTTAAGTGAAAGGGCTGTGTACTTACCCTGAATAAAAGCCCTATCAGACTTATGTACAGTAAATGTTTTACCACATTGTGGGTTGGTTTTTCCTGTTTTTTAATGGTGTGTTTTAAAGAACTAAAGCTTTTTGTTTTCTTAAAGACCAATTCATCACTTTTAATCTTTTATAGTTCATGCCTTTGGTGCCATATCTAAGAAATCTTTGCCTACAGCAAATATTTTCACCTATCTTTTCTTCTAAAATACAAGTTCTAACAAATAAGTTCATGAACTCGTCCTAGAAAAAGTGCTACGTACCTCACTGTTGAAACAGTCACCTCTGAAGTATTCCCTTCGGGAAGCTACGCACCACTGCCAGCACACAGTCTATATACTTCAAAGCCCTTTTTCTAGGATGAGCTCACAAACTTAATTGCCAGGACTGGTACCATGCCAGTTCTGAAGGCTAGTCTAGAAAAGAGCTCCAAAATAGCTTTGAAGAGCAAACTAGGCACTGGCGTCAGTGCACACTTCCTAAGGAGAGTACTTTGAAGGTGACCGTAGTGAAGGTCAACAATGAGGTGTGTAGCACTTTTTCTAGAATTAGTTCAAGATCTTGGTTGTCCAACTTTGTATTTTTAGTTTCCATTTTCAGTTAATTATGTGTGGGTTTATTTCTGGATTTCCAATTCTACCCCGAGATTCAGATGTGTATTTTTATGCCAATATACTTTCTTAATCACTACAGTTTTTAATTCCAGTTTTAAGTCATAAGACTGGTAGTATACATCTTTCAAATTCATTCTCCCTTTTGAAAATCCAGTTGGCTGTTCTAGGTTATTTGTATTCCCACATCCATTTTTGCACTTTTCAGTGCTCCTGTCGTATACAGGATAGGGATAATTTGTAAAATTTATCCTTAATGGCTTTGTGTGTGTTATATATTTTAAAATTCATAATTGTACATATTTATGGGGTACAATATGATGTTTCAATGCATGTATCTAGTGATACTTTTTTTAGTGATACTTTGTTTTGAAGTTTCAATTTCTAGTTATTTTTGGCTACTTATAGAAATATAATTGATTTTCATATTTTGACGTTGAAGCCAATGACTGTGATCAAGGTTTTAGTTTTAGCTGTTTTAATGGCTATCTTCTAGATTCCTTAGGACTTTACATGTACATGATGACATCATCTATGAGGTATGAGTCTTTAAATCTGTTTATCTTTTATTTCCTTTCTCTGGTTTGTTGAACTTGTTAGATCTTCTAGTACAATATTAAATAGAAGTGGTGAGATTAAACATCCTGGTTTATTCCTAATTTTAAGGGGAGAAAAGCATTCATCACTTATTAAACATGACACTACCTATAGGTTTTTTTTAAAATAGGTATTCTTTATCAGGAGAGAAAGTTTCCTTCTTTCCTCCTGAGAGTTTATGAATGAGTTTTCAATTTTAGCAAAAAGTTGATTGTGGGGATCACGCCTATGATTTAATCTATTAGGGTACATGTGAATTTGCCTGAAGGTCGAATATAAATGTCTTAACACAACAATTATGAGAAAGATATGATGGCTATGTTAGCCAGTTGGATGAGAGGTTTTCAAACTGTATAAGGAAACAACACACTGTATCCTATGAGAGAATTAATGTACACCATTATGATCTAATAAAAAAACAAAAACAAAAACGGGAAAAAAAAGTTGATTAAAGGTTTTCTTTTTTATTGTGTCTGTATGAATCATATATATATATATATATATATACATATATATATATTTTTTTGAGATAGAGTCTCATTATGTCACCCTTAGTAGAGTACCGTGGCATCATAGCTCACAGCAACCTCAAACTCTTGGGCTGACACGATTCTCTTGCCTCAGCCTCCCAAGTAGCTGGGACTACAGGTGCCCGCCACAACACCTGGCTATATTTTTCGGTACAGGTGTCATTGTTGTTTAGCTGGTCCAGGCCAGGTTTGAACCCGCCATCCTCAGTGTATGTGGCTGGCGCCGTTACAACTGTGCTACGGTTGTTGAGCCAATCATACTGATTTTTTTAACGTTAAGCCTATCTGGCCTTCCTAAAATACACCCCCCATTAGTAACAGTTTATTATCTCTTTTATATACGGTTGGATTCAAGTTGCCCATGTTTTCTTAATGTTTCCAGCCATGTTCATGAGGCACATTGGTTTATAGTCTACTTTTCCTAGAATATCTTTATTTGGTTTTAGTATCATTGGTCTTACCAAATATGTTAGAAAGGGTTCTGTTCTATTTAATATTTTCTGTAAAGGAATATGATTTCTTCATTAAATGTTGGAAAAAGTTTATTATGTAAGCCCACAGCTTAATTTGTGGGAAGGTTTATATATAACAAATCATTATCTTCACTAGATCTAAGTATTCAGATTTTCTAGTTCTTCCTGAATCACTTTTGGTAACTTTTGCTTTTCAGGGCATTTTTCCATTTCAACTAAATTGTCATATTAAACAAATGTGTTCATAATATTTCCTTATTATCCTTTGTGTCTGTATGGTCTGTAGTGATGTCCCCTTTCACTTCTAATACTGATTACACCTATTTTCTTCTTAGTAAGTCTATTTAGAGGTCTATCAATTTTATTATTTTTTACAAGAATCAACTGTTTTCATTAATTTTCTGTATTGTTTTTGTTTTGTATTTCATTGATTTCTACTATTACCTTTATTTATGTTTTTCTACTTAGTTGGATATACTTTGCTTTCCCTTCTTTAGCATCTTAAGATGAAAGCTTAGATCACAGATTTTAAATCTTTGTTATTTTCAAATGGAATCATTTACAACTTTTTATTTCCTTCTAACTACAGTTTCACTACATGGCACAATTTTGATACTGTAGATCTGTTTAAATTCGGTTCAAAATATTTTCTAAGTCTGTTTCACTTGTGATTTTTTCTTTGACCCACTGGCTGTTTAGAAGTGTTCTGTGTAACTGCCAATTGTTAGAGATATACTAGGTATCTTTGTGTTATTGATTTATAACCTAATTTCGGGGTGGCCCTAAAGCTTAGTATATAAGATTAAATCCTTATAAAATTATTGAGACATCTTTTATTGTCCTGTATATCATCTATCTTAAGGAATGTTCTATATGTACTTAAAAATAACATGATCCTGATGTCTTTGGGTGGAGCATCATATAAGTATCAAATTGGTCAAGCTGATAGTGTGTTTACATCTTCTATCCTCTTATTCATTTTATATCTACTTGTTATGTCACTTATTGAGGAAGGTGTATTAATATGTCCTACCAGGATTATAAATTTATTTAGTCCCCCTTTCCAACAGTTTTTG